ATATGTTGTATAGAAAAAAGAAGTTTTAGACCAAAATATTAACCTTTCACCCTAAAGTTCAATAAACGGACTTTCTAATGACAATACTACATGGAAAGAGGCAATTTAAAGCATGGTTGTCTTCTGCTTTCTTTAGTGTGGTGCCTCAATTTTGGATCACATCTTTAAATTATCAGATTCTTTAGATTAGTATTTCATAAAACTTTTATAATGTGCCAATGAAAATTATCTGTCTTAATTTTGAACTAGAATGCATAAAAGATTCTAATTCAAAATTAAGGCAGATAATTTTCATCCTCAAAATCCTTGCATAAAAGATATTTAAATTTTCAAATGTCATTCATTAGGTTTACTTTTATTTTTTTAAATTTACATTTTCATTAATATCATCCTTCTAAAATTTATACTTCACAAATGGTGTCAATTTGCTTGCAATATTTGTACTGTTTTGCCTAAGCATTTCCAAATAGAATTCCCCCCCCTTTAGTTTTTCCACTCTCTTCAATTTTCAGGGAACACTCGTAGTGTAGCACTGTGTCGTTGACACATTCCAGCAGCTACATTTAAATATGTCCCTTTGCAAACTGCATTCAGAGATATTTAACAAGCAAATATCTACCATATTTAATACCTACCTTTTTACCATTTATTTAGAAACTGAACATAAGTTTTCTTGGTTAATTAAAAAGTGGCATTACAACATTATTACAGAAGGGGGAAAATCATCAGCTTTCTCAACGAGCAATGTGTCTTACTCGCTCGCATTTCTCAGGAAAGAGCCAGGGTTTTTGTTTTTCTTACTCGATTTAATAGGTCATTATATATAATGACCTAGGCATTATATTATGGTATATAATGTAATTACTTTACATATAATGTATTTATGTATATAATGTATATATTGATGTGATCAGTGACGGATATCCCGCCAAAGCAGGTCTTTCCTTGATCATTTTCCTGTCATTGTGGCGGACACTGTTTTTTTATCTAGAAAAACAGGAAGTTTTCTAATATAAACCTGATGTCACATAGGGTTTGAGGATGAAATATTTCTGGGTGTCTTTTGAAGAAGTTTTAGGACATGTGTCAACCATGGCTAAGAGACCGAGATACCTAACTGAGAGTGAAATATGTAAAATTATGAATGAAAGTGATTCTGAGATTAATGAAGACAGTAATAGTGATATTAGTGTTCACAATGAATCAGAAGGTTCATTTTCCTCAGACACAGAGGAATATAATCCTGGAGAAGAGTTGTCATTACAGACTTTCTCTGAACTTATACCTTACCTTATTTCTATTAATTTGATATTTAATTAAGCTTAACTGCTGAAAATGCATGGGCTGGTGGCGGCGATCCATTTCAGCAGCTCCAGTCCCGTGACTGTGCTTCGTTCTCCGAGTGCTGTTCCTTATCCCAGTTTAAAAAATATGATTAGTTTCTTTTACCTCACACAGTAATATCAGTAAACTTGGATTAGTAGAATATTGGCACTGTGCTGAAATTGCTAAGTTATTGTAGTTTTAAGAAAAATGAATTTATAAGCTGGAAAAATCAAGCTATGACTAATAATTTCCTATAGCCATTCATATGAATATGCAACTTATTTAATTTGGTATGCAGTAGACTATCAAGACATAACCAAACTACAGTGGAAACAGTAAAAATGTGCCATTACTGTGGAAACAGTAAAAATGCACCATTACTGTAGAAACAGTAAAAAATGGATAGTCACAATTTTAGTATAATACTTATACAGTAAAGTGATGTTTATGCAGCTTTCAAGGGATCTTCAATAGAGAAATATCACTTCAGATTATGATTGAGAAATTTAAATTTTAACCATAGAATTTTAGTGCAGATATTATACTATTAATGTCATACAAGTTTAATTTGTTTTTGTTTGCTTAAAATGCTGTCTTTATAAGAGCAAATATGTTTCCTTTTTTAAATTATAATATTTGAAACTGTAAAATACTATACATAAAAATGTGAATGACTGCTTTTACCTCAACTAATTTTCTTGAATAAATAACACTTTTCAAAAAGAGATTTTTAACAACTTGAGTTAAAAAGACGTGCCTCGCACGTCGAGATGCTTTTGTCTCAAACCATGCGCAAAAATGAAAATAGCGTGGTGCACACATTGCCTGACAATGAGATTGTTTATTTCTCAAGTTACAGCTCTGGATTGCACTCGCAGACGCAGAGCCGCATAAATGAGGCACTTTACCTGTTGTTATATTGTAGCGCACGACAATGCAACTGTGAAGTTTAGTCGTAGCACAAGTGGTTAACATAGATGCAAATTTTAATTTCTCTCACAGGGGAAAAAACATCAAATGTCATTGGGTATGCCATTTGATTTTAAGTCTTGCACAAAGCATGCAGTGGGCAAAAGACAAATAATAGTCCAATTTATCAAATACTAGAGGAATCAATTGTCTCTCTTATAAAATTTGTCTAGTCAGCAGGTTCACTGCCTATTACTCTGCACTCACATGCCAGATCTAGACCCTCTCTAGATTCAGATATTTCTCATCTTCTTTCTCCGCCCTCATATCCCACCCAATGAACAACTTCTAAATGATACAAAAGAAATAAATGCCTTTTGAGGAATGTGTTTGAGCTGTAAAATGAAATGCTGATGAGTAAGTAAGGATGAAGATAATGTATGAGTGATGTGTCATATAAATGAAATATCTGGTTGCAACAAAAGTTTTCCAACCAAAAATGTTCAGTAATTACCACCCAAATCTATGATTTTCTGCCAACATTTTAGTAGTTTTTCAAAGCCTTCAGCATAGAAACTTGTTGGCCATGAGTCCAAAAACAGATCAACCTCATTTCGGACATCCTGTGCAGAATGGAAGATAGCATCAGCAAAATATAGCTGCAGGTGCGAAAAAGGGCAGAAATCCAAAGGAGCGATGTTGGGGCTATATGGTAGATGTGGCAAAAGATCCTATTCGAGTCCAAACAGAGTTCAGTTTATTGAATGCAAACAGTTTATGGAATGTGGTTTTGCATTATCTTGATGGGAAATTACCTTTTTGCGCTGGATTTCGGTTCGACGTTTTTCCTTGACAGCAGTATCAACATTGACTAGCATCTCACTGTACACCTTACTGTCAAGGGTTTTTCATTTTCCAGATATTTTTTGTGGATAATACCACAGCAATCCCACCAGATATAAAGCATGATCTTTTTGTTAGTCATACTGCACTTGGTGATGCTGCCGACGGGCTCACCAGACACAAACCAACCTACTTTTCAGCCTGTGTTGTTGAAGTAAATCCACTCTTCATCACAAATGATGATCCGGCTCAGAATTTTGTCCTTGTAAATATTTGAGCGGATTAGCGCAGGCACAGACATATCTATCCTTATCTGCTTGAGTCAGCTCATGCCGCTCCCCAGCGATTGAACTTATACGTCAAGTTTATACGATGCATAGTGTGATTAATGGACATGGCAGTAACGTCTAACTCCTTAGTAAGCTCTCGAGTGGTTGCATACTGACTTTCTTCTGCAAATTCTTGCCGGTGGGCCTCATCAGCATCAGTGGGCTAACCAGAGCACTCTGCTTCTTGAACATCATAGTCCTTGTTTTTTAACTTTCGGTACCAAACCTTCACAGTGTAATATGATACAAATTAGTACTTAGAGATATACACATTATTTGGTGACATTCTGTAGCTGACCTCTTTTTGCAATAGAAATGGAAGTAAATGATGGTTCTAAACCTGTAGCGTGATAGTTCCATTCAGTAATCAACTTCTAAAATTAAAAATGCCTACGAAAAACCATCAGGAAAGTGGCAAAAAAATAAATATATAAAATAATTTTAAAATAAGCTAACTAATATCCAAAATAATTAAACTTAAGTTTAACTATTTTGTACTGTAGAGACAGGATTTTTTTGGAAGCAGGAGACTTGAAAATGAGCAATGCCACTGCTGGGAATCGAAGCACAGACCTCTGGAATATGCACCCAGCATGCAGACCACTACACCATGAATGCACGCTAAGAAGGTGGGAGAAATACCTTATATACTCTCCCTTTATAGGACAACTGGGATTTTTAAGGGACCTAATCCCCTAATCCTATGGTCTTGAAGTATGGAGAAGTCCCGAAGTATCCCCGAATCCCGAAGTATGGAGAATCATCATTCACCACCCTCTTAGTTTGGGGGCCATTCTAGAGACGTCAGGGTTTTTTTTTTTTTTTTTTTTTTTTTGGAAGCAAAAGACAAAAAATAAGCAACAACTCCGCCGGGAATCGAAACACGGACATCTGGAATACGCGCCCAGCATGCAGACCACTAGACCACGAAGGCATGCTAAGAAGGCGGGAGAAATATCTTATAGTACTTAAAGTTGTACACATGATTTAGTGGCATTCTGCAGTTGACATTTTGCGATATAACTGAAAGTAAAGGATGGTTCTAAACTGGTAGTGTGACAGTTCCATTTCACACACCTTGTAATTAATGATAATGATATATATTTTTTTTTAATTTCATGACAATTTCACAACACAGTGTTCTAAAGCAAGTCTCTTTCTTTTAAATGCCAAAAATCATTTGACAAAATATGATTAAACACGCCAACGCAAACTGTTTGTGCAGACAGTATTTTCTATGGCTGGAAACTTTTGTTAAAACCCGATATTTCACCATTAACATGAACATGGATGAATCAGAAGATAGAGAAATAATATACAAATGGGAAATGTAAAACAGTGCTCCCTTATAACAAGAAATTACATTATTTTTAAAGCTATAGTTCTAAATTAATTAAAAATAAAACAAATCATTTATTGGTCAATTATTACCCCAGCACATATCACATTGCAACTAAAGTTATTAAGAGAACATAGTCAAATAAGAAAAGCTGCATTTCTTTTAACAAATGAAAAAACTTCCAATACAACTCTCTATATATATTTTGCTACAATATTCAATCAAATGAAGATGAAAAACTTAAAATGTAATACCTTCCTTTTCAAACTGTTCATGATCATCATCTTTGAAGCGTTCATCTAGTTTAAACCGACTCGATAGCTCAGAACTCATTTCAAGTAACTAAAACATTATTATAAAAAAAATCAGAATCTATTAACTAAAAACTTACACATTTAAATGAATAAAAAAATTAAATATCAGGTATCTTAAAAACTAATGAGTTTTAATTACATACCTGTTGACCTCTAGGCCCCTCAAACTGAGGGCGAATATTAAAAGCATCATCATAGTTATCCTCTTCATTATCTGAATCAAATAATTTCAATTTATTTTCCTCTTTGCTGACATCTTCAAAAACCTTGAAAAATTAAAAAATGATATTACTTGGTATTTTACAGATGTATTAAACACTCAATTGTTTAGAACACATTTTATATTTGACTTATAATTAAGAGATAGATAAAATTTTACTGAATATAAACTTATACACAAAAAAGAAATACAATATTAATCCAAATACAAGATGGCTTCATATACATTGTTCGACATTGAAAACGCAACACCAAGAAGGAGTGGTCAGAAATTTATGCAAATTTTAGAGTAGACGCACGTCACTGAGTTATGCGAATGATGTGAAATGTGCAGCTCTCCGACACATGTGAAGTAAGATATAAGGGAAGGAATGTTTAGAATGGGCAATATTCCTGTCATTATTTCTGCCAGACAAATTATCGAAGAAAGTTGATTTTTGTCCCGGAGGATACATGTAATAGAAGAGAATGCCAGGCCACCGTCAACGAAGGCACTTCCAGCAGATAGATGATTTTACGATGGGTACGGTGATCGAACTGAGAAGGGCAGGTTGGTCCTTACATCAAATCGCAGCTAATACCCACATCGATGTGAGCATGGTGCATCGGCTATGACAAACATGGTTGAAACAAGGAAATGTGGGAAGAAGGAGGGGTACAGGTGCAGCCAGAGTGACGTCAGCATGCGTGGATCGACGCATCTGCCGACAAACTGTGGCGTCCCACAAGTCACTTGTATCGCGATTCTGCAGCATGTGAAAGATACCCTGGATATTCCTGTGTCGACCAGAACAAATCCCTGTCGATTGGTTGAACGTGGCCTGCACTCACAGCGTCCGTTAAGAAGACTGCCATTGACCCCACAGCATAGACGCCAACGTTTAGAATGTTGCCAGACTGGAGCGATGTGGATGACAGAATGGCGAAACGTTGTGTTCTCAGATGAGTCATGCTTCTGTTTACCCAGTGACAGTCGCCGCATATGTGTATGGCGTCGACGTGGAGACAGATCTAATCCGGCAGTAAATGTGGAATGCCTCACCGTGCGACAACGTGGCATAATGGTTTGGGGCGCTATTGCGTATGATTCGAGGTCACCTCTAGTTTGTATTCAGGGCACTATGACGGCCCAACGATACTTGGATAATGTACTGCGCCGGTGTCAATCCCCTACCTTCAGGGGCTGCCTAATGCAATTTTTCAGCAGGATAACGCCCAACCACACAGTGCTCACATCTGACAACCATACTCTCCTGACCTGTCACCAATCAAACATGTGTAGGATGTGATTGGACGCCGTTTGCAGACTCTGCCCCTGCCTCGTTCAGAAGACGAACTGTGGCAAATGGTTGAAAGGGAATGGAGAGTCATCCCTCAGGACAACATCTGCACTCTTATTGACTCTATGCCTAGACGCGCTTCTTCATGCATCGCTGTCCGCGGTGGTCCTACATCCTACTGAGCCGACGCCGTTCTCTCTCTGTATTCTGACTATCATTTTGAAATAAAGATCACTTATTGTTGCTTGCTGTCTCTGTCTTTTTTTCCAAATTTCATCACTTTCTGACCACTCCTTCTTGGTGTTGCATTTTCAGTGTTGAGCAGTGTATAATATAACTCTATATTTCTGAAGCTATTTTATAGAGAAAAGCAAGGCTTATGCACAAAGTGCCTTACTATATAAATCTGATATCTCGAGCAATTTACAAGGTCATTATTTAGCCTAGTTTTCATTCTTTGCAATCAGACCAGTAAATATATATATATATATTTAATGTGAAAGCTCAGGAAAAAATGAAAAATTATATTTCACAAATGATAGACTGCTATGACAGTACAGGTTTTCAATAACGCATTTTTTTAAAAAAAAATTGTGTTGTATTCACACTTTTTATTAGATAAGAAAATATTATCATTATAAAACATACTGAAATTCTTTTATAGCTCTTTAAATTATCAGCAAAAAAAAAAAAAAAAAATCAAATATAGAATTTTCATTTACTAACCACACTAAGTTTGCAAGTTCATCTGTAAATGATCATACATATAAGCTGACTTTTGCTTATGAATTCTAAAGTAACTGTTTATTGGTTACAAGATTAAGATAAATAATTTTAAAAAATCTTAAACAGAATCGATAAGTTACAAATTATTAAATACTGTTACCTCCAGGGTAACAGTATTCCATGTCCAAGTTTTAACCCTACAATATCAACTAGGTGAAAATTTTAATCAGTTTTATTTCTACCATTTTAGTTTGAATTCACCCTTGCTGTAACTAAGTCTTTGATCACATTGTAGACGTTTAATATATGTATGTATTTTCTATTACCTGACTTTAATAAAGTAATATATTTTCCCCTAAATCTTCATTGTTTGTTTCTAACAGATTATACAAGAATAAAAATTACCATTCCCTATTTGCAGTTATTTAAAGAGTCCAAATAATGAAGTGCACACATTATCCAAAAGCATATAAAATATGATAATTGTAAGGTTACTTATAATTCATCCTAATATTAGCATTGAAACTGTCATACCAGTTCTCTTCATTAAATTTCAATGGCAGCATTAAATTCTGATATATCATCTGTCTTCATTGCTGTAATATGTATTTTCCCTCAAACACATTCCAGTAATTTATATCTATTCCGTATTCTAATAAAGTATTTTTATCACTTCAGTGGATTGAAAACAAGTTAATATTCACACTGTATAATATTGTTTATTGACTACATTTAATCTGATAAAAACGCAACATCAAATTATCAAAGAAAAGATAATTTTTTAAATTAACTTTTAAACTTCTTTAAATTAAAATTTAGGTATTTGACTAAGCCACATAATCTAATTGTGTTAAACTTTGTTTTAAGTAATGTGTGCGATTTTTTTTAATATTTGGAATTTCCTGCATTACGAGAAACAAGCCTTTATAGTTACTGATCTGTGCATATGAATTTCTTGGACCTTCTTTCTTGTAACATAGCTTATAAAATATTATAATTTTTCATTCATGCTCATAGTTCATGTTTCTTTAGCTAGTAAAAATTTTTGCTTTTAAAATAAAGCAATTTTCAACAGTTACCAATCTCTGTATATGCATTTTTTCTTCCTTCAATTTTAAAATATAATAGTGTTTTATGCAGGTTCATAGTTCATATTTCTTCAGCTAATGAAAATTTTTTCTTTTAAATTAGTTCTTCATTGTATCATGCTTCTTATTTTCAGTCTACCATCAACTGAAAAGGTGGCTATATTTTATTAGAAGAAAAAGGTATTTTACCCAAAGAAAGAATTTGTAAAAATGAGCATAATATAATATGGAATTATATGTTGGAAAAAAAATTGGTGATGCAGTGTCAGCAGCAATAAAAAGAAGAAATGTCTTTGTGCTAAGAAATGGTTTAGTAGATCATGAATACCCTTTCTTATGGAACTGCAGGGATCAACAAAATGGGAAAAAAAAAAATTACAGAGGTATGCATTGGTATGTTTTTTAATAAATTGCTAACAAAGCTGTGTACTAAAATAAATTAAATACTTTAAAACTCTTGATTTCATTCAAAAATAGCAAGCAAAATGAGTAAGTTGCGAAGCAAAACCACTATGTTGACAGAATGTAATTACGCTTGTTTCATGCTCATGTGCAAATCAGTAACCATTTGTTTCTCCCCAGTATTGATATGTACCAAATCAACATTCCTGACAAGGCTGCTGCAGAAGATAAGTATCAAAATTTATTCATCATGTTGTATTTTTTAATTGGAGTTATCATAATTTATAATTTCATGCAATAAGCCATGAATTTCTCCAAGTTAATATCAGAGGAGTAGAACTGCTTCAATTTTACTTCCTTATTGAGTGGCTTCAGCTGAGTTAAACTATATAGTTTTTAAAAGAGGTCTATAAAAGTTCAGCAAAGCAAAGAATGAAAGTATTTCTAATGAATAATTTATAATTAAATTTAGAGTATGAACAGCCCACAGTTTAAAACTGTATTTCAATGAAAACTTTGAAGTCCATTTATCGCCATTATTGCATCCTTGACTACTCATAACCTAAATGAGAAATACACTTTTCCCAGATATTTAATTATTATTTCATATAAAAAAACAACCTATAGAATATCAGCTTGCATACAGGATCTGATTAATAGAGTCTGGGACTCTTTGTGGAGCATTTTTTTCCTCTACAAGCCAACTTTCCTTGTTTTCTTAAGGAGAAAATAGAATTACCAGAGTTGTAAAATCAGTCTTGGGAACCTGAAACTTGTGTTATTGGCCCCTGCCTGCAAAAGCTCTAAATGATTTTCAATGATTTTGATTGTTTCATCAACTACATATTTAAGAATAGTGACTGAATATCAATCACTTTGGATTTGTAATGAATAGTTGTAGTACACTGCTCAAAACAATTAAAGGATATTGCGGTTTTAGGTGGATCTTGTGGCTGATTGATACATGGTCGACAGACGTAGTAGGTTATATGAGAATAAATTACACATGTTTGGCAGAAAAAAATGCATTTTATTGCGCATTTGTGTACAAAAGGAAAAAAACACAATTTGTGCATATGAGAAAAAAAGAATAAGAAAAGTTGTTTGCTTCAAAGGAAATTATTTCAGTAGGGGGAATGGTTTCCATGGACGGCCAGCAACGTTGAACACCTTTGAGGCATGGAGTCAATGAGGCTATTAATCACGAGTTGGGGTATTCTGTCCCACTCTTCCAGCAGAGCTTTTTCCAGTTCTTGGAGAGTTTGTGGGGATGGTTGGCAGCCAGCAACTCATCTTCCTAGAGTGTCCCAAACGTGCTCTATAGGATTCATCTCTAGAGAACACGCTGGCCATTCCATTCGTACGATTCCTTTCTAGAAAAGGAAATCCTCCACCAGGTTAGCACGATGTGGCCTGCAGTTATCGTCCATCAAAATGAAGTCATCTCCGATTGCTGCAGTGTAAAAGACTACAATAGGTCTGAGGATCTCATCCCTATATCGGCGACCAGTCAGAAGTCCATCTCGAATAACGTAGAGGTCTGTGTGCCCG